GTATCATAATGTAATGCCTTCTAGCTCAGCTAGGGTTGCCAACTCCAGGTTGGGAAATTCCTGGATACTTGGGGGAAGGAGCCCAGTAGGAATGAGCCCACCCCCCAAAGCTGCCATTTCTCCAGAGAACTAAATCTCTATAGGTTGGAGATTACTTGTAAATACTGGAGAAATCCAGGCCCCATCTGGAGATTGGCAACTCTGTGTTCAACCCACTTTGGGAAGGCATGAACCACAGGTCCTCTTTTGGAATGGTCATCCTACCTTTTGGTACCTTTGTTCCCAAAACAAGAGAATCAAGCAGTAAAAAATAAATAAATGGTGAAGGTACCGTGGAATCTGATGTCTCTTTTAATATCTTCCTTGAAGAACTATGTTACATGCAGGCAAGCTTAAGGAAAAGCTTTGAAGATGCAAAAACATGTTCAGGAGGATAACAGAACACTGCTATGTACCCAAGATGGAACAACGGGTGTGTTGCTATGCTGTTGCAGGCAGCCTTTGCCTTAGGAACTGGGTGGTTCCAGGAGTCTCGCAGATGCCTCTCCATCTCGTTCAGTTAACTCTGTCAGAGAGGTGCAATTCCGCCTTCCACAGCCATCTTTCTTCCCACAGTGCTCCAGGTGTTTGTTTCCCTTCACAAACAACTGGAGCCCCATGAAGCAAACTGGAAGGGGCACTGAAGGGAAAAAGAAATAGTGGGAAGAAGGACTAAGCTCCCTTGCATGCTTCTCCACTGAAAACTCCCTCCTCCAGAAGTTGTTTTCCCTTGTAAGAAACATCCCTTTGACTCCAAATATCAGCGTTTGCACGTAAATATTGTTGTGGGCTTGGGGGTTAATTACTGGGAATGGCTTGGCCTAAAGGGACTGGAGCCAGGGACTATGAGGACCACAAGAAAAAAAAATCCACATTTCTTCAAGCTTGTGGGCCCTAACCTGGATAACCCAGGGAAGCCTGATCTCTTCAGATTTCAGAAGCTAATTAAGCAGGGTCAGCCCTGGTTAGTATTTGGATGGGAGACCACCAAGGAGGTCCAGGGTAGCTACCTAGAAAACCCTATGGGGGTCACCTGTAAGTCAGTTGTGATTTGTTAGCAAAATTTTTTTTAAAAAAAGTTTATGGGTGTTTCCTCAATGGCAGCAAAATGTTAGGAGATCATTCTCCTATGGCTCTGTTCAAACACCCACCAGGGCTTGGGGAAGGAAGCAACTGTGTGCAAACAGCAGGTTTTTCATTGGGAGGCATTGGAGAGAGAAGCAGAAAAACTGCTATGAGTTAGCTAAATCAACTGGGAGATACACGACCTCTCTGCAGTCTGATGTGGGGTAGTGGAGCTGTTGCTCTGTAGAAATCCCTGTTTACCTCTACATTCACTCTGCTTGTAGCTAGCAATACAGAATGCCCTGTCTCCAGTGCCCCGTCCTCCAAATGGAACCAACCCAGGACCTTGAAACTTCAAAAAGTGGGAACACACAACAGTACCATTTACCATATTGAAATGTACTGGGTTCAGACACATTGAGTGATCAGCTCATAGTTTATTAAGTGATTCAGCAGTGAGAACAAAGACAAAGACCCCTGGCTGAAGCCAGGTTTTATGCCCACAAAGTCACACCCAAAACACACCCCACTCCAAGTGATAGGCTATTTACACCAGGTTACCTTTCCAGGTAACCCTGTTGGGCTATTTTAGGATCCCAGTGTTCCTACTGGTGCGCTCCTAGGATCCTAGCCTGCTTTTGTTATGAATCTCAAGCTCAATACATTACACATATACTAACATGTCACCAAGTAACTTGAGAGAGACGTAAACAAATTCATGAGACTGTTTAGCCAAGTATTTGGGTTTATTGCATTGCTGCATACAATTGCACTTGGACTCACTTCCGGTTTATTTCTACAAGTTTTACTTAAAGTAACACACCTGGTGGGAGTCAAGGCCTATAAGAAAGGAATGGAATATTTCATAACATTTGTGGATGTTTGTTCCATGGACGTTTCTTGTTAAGAAGATAGTCTCTCAATAGCTGTGATCAATTGTCCACTTGGAGATGACCCCTCCTAGCCAAGGGCAACAGGTACATGCGTGCCTGTGAAGGGGGGTGGGTGGGCAGAAACAGCAGTTTTTAGTTTGGAAAAGAGGCAGAGGGACAGCGGCCAGTTGGCCGAAGATGAAGCATCTTGAGGGTGCAGGATCTGGAGATCGGATATAGCAGATCTGCTGCCCTATATATAAATGCCTCTTTGCGAACACCTCAACTGAACTTGTATGTTTGTAAATAAAGAAAATATTGCAAAGACTTCAGTGCTTTTCATTCAAATCAACCCAAACTGATGTAAGTTCTGCCTTTCCACCTAGACAAGAAGGCTTCCTGAAGGTTTTCATCTCTGTGGATAATCTGCATATCTGTTCATTCAATTACCTGTCTGTCTCAAGACAGAAAACATACAGGACAGGTTACAAAATACGAGTACCTAATTAGTAACTTGGGTAACAAAAATAAAGTTTTGCAGCACCTCAAAGACTAACAACGTTTTATTAAAGCTTAAGTTGTTATGTTAAGTTGTTATAAATCAATGGTGCGACCTCATTTGGAATACTGTGTGCAGTTCTGGTCACCACACCTTAAAAAGGATAATATATCTTTGGAAAAAGTGCAGAAAAGGGCAACTCAAATGATAAAAGGGTTGGAACACTTTCCCTATGAGGAAAGGTTAAAGCGCTTAGGGCTCTTTAGCTTGGAGAAACTACGACTGAGGGGAGACATGTTTGAGGTTTATAAGATAATGCATGGGATAGAGCAGGTAGAGAAAGAGGTACTTTTCTCCCTTTCTCACAATACAAGAACTCGTGGGCACTCAATGAAATTGCTGAGCGGTCGGGTTAGAACGGATAAAAGGAAGTACTTCTTCACCCAAAGAGTGATTAACACATGGAATTCACTGCCACAGGAGGTGGTGGCGGCTACAAGCATGGACGGCTTCAAAAGGGAATTAGATAAGCATATGGAGCAGAGGTCCATCAGTGGCTATAAGCCACAAGATATAGATAGGGGCTCTGGGGCAAGTGATGCTCTGTCTTCTTGGTGCTTGGGGGGGGGTCAACAGTGGGAGGGCTTCTAATGTCCTGGCCCCACTGGTGGACCTCCTGATGGCACTGGTATTTTTGGCCACTGTGTGACACAGAGTGTTGGACTGGATGGGCCTTTGGCCTGATCCAACTTTGGCATCTCTGATGTTCTTAACCAGTGCTTCCTTTTTCAGTTGCAGTGAGTGGATCTTTAGTTGGCACTCATTTTTTGTACAGGTAAGAAAGCAAACAGCAGAGTCTCATGAAATGCAAGAAGTACAGAGAGAAACGTGAGAGTGGTGTCCAGAAGTGCTTTAAAAACCAGCAAGACTGCCAGGGTATGATAAACTTTCAAGAGTCAAAGGAATTACCTAAAACTGAAATCCAACCAAGAAAGATGCAGAAACCTTCACTTGTTTATGATAAGCTAATTGTCACCTGTAATGGGAGGGAAGTCCCAGGTTTCGCTACAGTACGGTAGTTAACCTTCATGACAGTACACGGCTGCAGGGCCATAAAGGAGTCAATTCACGTAGCTCAGTAAATGGGAGGCCCTGACCTGGTTAGCTCAGGCTAGCTCCATATTGTCTTTTAACAGACAGGCTTAGGCCCTATGTGAAACTCCCTGTCTTCACATGAATGCAGGGGTGTAGCCAGAAAATTTTGGGTGGTGGGGCGTTGGGAAATTGGGAGGGGGGCAGGGGAGGGAGGAGACAGAGATATCCCGTCAGCAGGCAGGCAGGCGGAGAAGAGAAGGGTCTTTCCTTACCTGCCGGCCACACTCATTTGCCTTGGCCACCACAGGAAGAGAGAGTGCATACTTACCAAGTATTAATTGCACCGAGTATTAATTGCACCCCTTCTCCTGTAGCAGCCAAAGCAAAGCAAATGAGTGCGGCTGGCAGGCAAGGGCAGCGGGAGTTGTGGGGCACGGGGAATGAGGGGGCACTGCCCCTAAATGCCCCACTGTGGCTATGGGCCTGCACGAATGGGCGTGTCTTCTGAAATATACTAATTAGGACTCCAGCTGTTGTTAAATCTATATTGCTCACTGCTTTACTGTTCTGCACATTAAAGAAGGTTATGAGGCATCCTGCCTGCTATGTCTCTCTGGCCTTAGGGTAGACCATTTACTCACCTCCACAGTAAGTACACTTTACAGAGGAGCCAAACACCATAGGGTTGGCCCTGGTTGGTTAATATTTGGCTGGGAGGCCACCAAGCAGTACAAGGGTGGTTATGCAGAGGCAGGCAATGGCAAAACACTTCTGAATAGTTCTTGCCTTGAAAACCCTATTGAGGTTGCCACAAGTTGGGTGCAACTTGACAGCAAGAAAAAGAAAAGTAAACATCAGAGCATCAGTGCCCTGAAATGGTTCGACTTTCAGGCTCGCATGGGGGAGACTGAAGTGCAAATCTGTATTCTGAGCTCCTCGGTAAAGAGGTGGGGTTTAAAAATATATGGGGTCATGAGTAGGTAGATGGGATGAGACAAGAGGCAAGCTAAAAATTAGGAGGCATTTGTTGATGCAAATTACGTACACAATGCGGTTTCAATTATTACAGTGTCTTAAGGAAAGTATGATGGAAAGCGGAGAACGCGACCCATAACAGGGACTGCGATTAGTAACGGGTTAACGTCTCAGGCACTCACGCCGGTAAACAAGTTTCCTCGCAAGCGCGAGAAATGCACGAGGCAAAGTCGGAACAGGAGGTTCTAATTGCACATCAAGATTAACGATGTGGGGAGAGTTGGGAGGGGGGTCCACCCCCGTCCTTCATCCAATCATGGGGAAACTCAGCCACACCCAGCGTCCAATGCAAAGCAAGTTTTGTTTTGCCGTCCTCTTCAGCCAACCAGGAGCTTTGCAGTCCAGCGTATGGCTTGGTGGGCGGGGTTTCTATCGCTGTAAACTCTCTCCTAAACCGCTCGTCAGAATAACGTCGGTGGTATCAAGACCTGGCTCGCTCTAGGATTGCGTCTCCTGCATGCAGAACAGTCGAGCCGCTGCTGATTGTCAGGAAAGCGCTGCTCTTCGCTTTCTGCAGCAGGCGGGCTCCACGCTTGCTCTCTTTCTTGCGGCGTGCTCCCAGCTCTCTATTTCGGTCTGCAAAGGTTGCCAGGGTAAGAGAAGGGGGCGTGGCGCGAGACTGAATTAGCAACCAGTCAGGGCGCTTCGTTCTCTGCTGACGTCACAATGCTAGTTCGCGATCCCTGGAACCTGCGGCAGCAACAATAACAATAACAGACTGGCTCGCTCCCTGGGGCCGATCAGCTGGGCGTGAGTGGTCGGAGCCAGCAGCAGGGACAGGCGGCGAGGGCGGCAGCTGCTACTGTCAGCCGCGTCGGAGGGGAGAGAACAACCCGAGCAACCCAAGAGGGACTCAAAAATAGAAACGCTTCTTCTCAGGAGCAATGTCATCGAGCGAGTCGTCCGGGGTGCAAGAGGAGAATTTGCAGGGTAAGGGCTCTTCATCATTTGGTCTCTTTATTTATCGGGCCCGTATTGCAGGACTGCTTGTTAGAGCAATTTGGCGTTTACCTTTGCCGATCAGCAACTGGGGCTCGAAATCGCATTGTTTTGAGCGCCTGAGGTCTTCCTACTCCAGGTTCTATTCTTCTGTATTTTTCTCATTGCTGGTTACAGTTATAATGTTTCTGGAGAAGCGGCAGTGGCAGAAACTGAGGGGCGAGAGATCAGATTCCCCTGTCTTCGGTACCCACTGCTCATCGGCAAGCATTCTAGGCCCTCAGTTCTCTGAGCTATTAATAACTTGGATTTTCTAGAAATTGGAGTAACGTGGATTTCTCCTGCCTTCCGCCGATGGGGTAACATTATTGGAAAACTAAGCTCCAGAATGGGTTACTTTTTTTTGGCCTGGAATTCGGTAGATCCGAGGCACAGTTATTGTCGTTCTAATACTCGCTTGTGTTCCCCATCTGTGCTGGTTATACCTTTTACCCGTGTGAGTCATCAGGACTTGTGCAACAGTTCTGGTGGTAAACAGTAACCCTTGTCGCTGTCATGGGATTTATAACTGGTATGTCCCGAAAGCCTAGAAAGTCGACTGTAACACAAGAGGGGGTAAAGCCTAGAAAGCAATGTTCCCTCTAAGCTGTGGAGTCTTGTGAGCAAAAATTCTACTTTGTGAGCTACTGGCATTAAAGTTGTGAGCGAATGATTTGGCTACTGCATAAATTAGTTTGCTCTGGAGCCCTCCTTCCTGAGCTGAGACAAAAATGTGTGAGCCAGAGGCTAACAAACTGTGAGCTAGCTCACACTAACTCAGCTTAGAGGGAACACTGCTAGAAAGTCGACTGTAACACAAGAGGGGGACTTTTCTTATTCACTTTGTGAGAAGAAGATAGGGTTTTCACAGTTGGATAGATGAAATTTTTTGAATGTGATTATCTAGTGCTGTCCTGTGGTTTTGCCCAATCTTGTCTGTCAACTCCAGGCTGGCTGTGCAGTGAGTAATTGAGAGTTGTTTCTCTAGTATGCTCATGTAAGCAAAATGTCGAGTTCTGCATTGAACCTGAAGGCACTTTCGTTACCCAGCCTTTTTGATGTTGTCAAAACGTTTGGTTGATTTATGTTCAGTGCACATACACAGGCTGAAAGACACACAGAGCTGTTGCATGCACACTGGGCTGTTTCATTCTCATGTGACCTGTCTGAAGGGGTGGTGGCAAATGAAATGTAGAAAGCACTCAAACCTTCCAATCTGTGTTGTTTTGCTTTTGGTATCATATCTCCCAGAGCCCTTTTTGGGCTCTCATTTCACTCCGCTAATATAGCATAACAGATTTTCCAAGAAAAGTTTAAGGGAAGTAAAATGTCTGCAACTAATCTTGTGGTTATAATGCAGAACTTGCAGAAACTGTGACATCTATTGCATCATTTGCCACACTCGAAAGATCTCATATTAGCTGCATATTTGTATTTGTTAACCTGGTCTCTTGAATGCATGGGAGGTTTGGCAGAATTCTGTCTGGATGGAAATGCAGACTACTTGAGAAATGCACTTAAGATTGTAAATTATGTTCTTTGCCACTCTCCATTTCATCCAGTCCAATTTCTTGCTCGCTTGACTTTTCTTTTGTGGCAAGACAACTGTGCCTTTAAATGTCTGGATGAAGTATGGAGATACCGTACTGGGGAACATTGTATTTGTTGAATTGTTGCCTGTCATAGGCAAGGGAGTCCTGGGATGGGGTGGGGAGTAAGAGGGAAACTGGCAGCCATCTCCTTCTTCTCTGTGTCAATAACCTTCCTTTCGGTTGTTTTGCAAGACCTATTTCATAACTCTTGTCAGTTTTAGTTTTCAAAGTGACATAGAGGGACTCTATGTTCCCAGATATATTTATGTATTGTTGGAAAACATATGCAATCTGTACGCTGTGTATTATCTAGAACCTAGGAATGTAGATGTTACAGGCTGTTTAACAACATGTTTCTGGCTCTCAGTGTAGCTGAGTGTTTCTGGCTCTCAGTGTAGCTCAGTGTAGCTGTCTCTGTTTCCTTTCTTTGCCTGTCTCCTCCTTGCTTACCTTCCTCTGTTTTCTTCTGCTGCTAAGCATCCTGGGAATTGTAGTTCCAAGGGATGAGCCACAGAAACAGAGAAGGAGTAGCCTTGTAAAAATGTATGTTTGGGCAAGAAACATCCACCTGAACTAACAAATGGGCTGATGTATTAAGCAAGCTCAGTAGATTATGCCTTAAAGCAAAAAGTCTCAAGAGATTAAAAAAAGATACATGGCTCTCTCTCCCCTCTCCAATATAATTTCAAACAGTAACAGCTTGTGGTACAAATGTCTGTTTTGGACAGTAAGTTCAGTACTTAGCACTGTTCTTTTCTTCTCCCACGGAAACGAAGAGGCGATTACTCACATTAATTCAGTTAGACATTGTTAAAGTTCTAATTGCCTGTTGCTTCCCAGTCAGGCGTAGCTAAGGGCTAAACATCAACCTAGTTGCAAAAGGAATCAGGTCACTAGAAGTGACTTTGCACACTCCACTATCTTTTGGGTTGGAGCTTCTTATGCTGTCTCTAATGGACATGGATATGTGTGGCACCCAAAACAGGAATTGCATGAAGCTGGCCTAGGACTTGTAGTGTTTAAAAGGAAGGGGGAAGCCCCTGCTTGTTGAAAAAAAAGTTTCCCCACCCAGGCAGTCCCTTCATCTTGGGAATATTGACTGTACTGTGGTGTTATATGGTGTGGCTCACCTGGATCGCTTTCCCCTCCTGTATCCTTCCCTTTGGGAAAAGGAAGCAAGCCAGGTAGGCTATGGCATTAGACCTAGATTGCATTTTTGGCTAGAATGAGCAGGATAAAACTTGCAAGTACATGGGTGGCTTTCTTTTAATCAGATGATTTTTTTAAAAAAAATGGAAGTGACAAGTTGGCTGCTGCAGTTTGCACATTTTCTGTCCCTTGCTGGCATTGGGGCACACATAATCATTGATTCCAGGGCAAAAAAGGAATCTGGATTTGGTTGTACAATTGCTGTCTTGTTCTGTGGTTTAATCTGTATGGATGTGCTCTGGACTGCAACGGTCATCTCCCTTTCCCCCTCTCTGAAATTAATAGTAAAAACAGCCCAGAAACCAAAAACAGAATGACGGGTCACTAGTGCATTGGTGCTACAAGACCGGATAATTCAGAACTCCCAGATCTGGGGGGGGGGGGGAAATTCAGTGGTGGGATTGTCATAAGCACTCTTATAGAAAAGCACTTCATGTCCTGGAAAAGAACCCACATATAGGGTCACCACATGACAATCTACAGGAGTTTCTCACACATCTTCTGTATGCAAGTGCTTTTGCTATAGGGATGCTGTAATTTGTGAAAGACTCCTAAATGCCTGGGTCTTTGGCATGCTGCCAGTGATTACTGTAGTCAGTATATTTCAATAGTACGGCAGGGCAGTTGTATTCAGAGATCTGCATTGAGATGAATAGGTTTTAAGAAGGCTTAAAAGGTAACAGCATTGCCATTTCCTATTAGAGCAGAGTTTTATTATTAACTTGCAATAATCGGTGTCCTCTGCCTGTTCCCTTTGTGGAATGCAAGAAGGAAGCTGTTTAGGCTGACTTGAAAAGAGAATGTCAAGCAAATGGATGTGCCTGCCTTTTAAATACCCACTTTTGCTTCTTCTTCTTTTGGTCTCCCTGAAACCTATGTGAGCAGGTTCCTGGGTGGAGCTCCACTTTAGCAGCAATGGGAATGGCAGTACGGCTCCACCAGCCAGCCAGGAGCAGGTCCCAGCTTCAATTTCCCTTTACAATGGTGACATGGAGAAAATTCTTCTGGATGCCCAGCATGAGTCTGGACGAAGCAGTTCACGAGAGAGCTCACACTGTGACAGGTACCTATCCCAATATATACTGTGTTAAATATTTTTCAGTTCTTTTTATTGTCGATATTGTACAGTATTAGATGGTTTTTTGGTGAGTATTTTGTGTGGCTGTGTGTATATATATGTGTGTGTGTGTGCACCTGGAAGTCATGGTTGACTTCTGGTGACCTCTAGTGGGGCTTGGATGTTTCAGTAAGTTGGCTTGCCATTGCCTGTCTCTGCTTCCTGGCCCTGGTCTCCCATCCAAGTACTGCTTAGCTTCCAAGATCTGATGAGATCAGGCTTGCCTGGGCTATTATAGTATTAAAGTTTGACAAACACGTCAGGTGATGCAGTTGGTCCTTTTTAAATCAACATGCCTTCTCTTTATCACAACCAAAACCATCTCATTACTCTAGACAACACCCACCCACCACCAGCTTCATTCCTATTTCATGTCAGATATATTTTTAAAACTGCTTGGACCTGGTGATAGAGGTGAGCAGAGCTCATTAACTGCACACTCCTCTCAGAACAGAACTCCTTTAAGTCTTGTGTTGACGCCCGATGATCTACTACTGTTGAAACCAAGCAGGTGTAGACTTGGTCGGTGTCTAAAAGGGAGAATCCAGTGTAAGCTGCTCTAAGCCTTCTAAAGGAAGGACAAGAGTACAAGCATAATCTATATTATAATGTCTTAGGTGAATTTGTGGTGATGATGCCTCCAGTAGTGATTGACTCAGCAGCCACCATGGGGAGTTGAATTGTCGGTCAGACCAGACTCTGTCACTGGCTCTACTGCTCATATCCTGAAGATAGCTATCGACTGGGCTCTTGCCCTAAAGAAGGCCACATCAAACAGAAGATAACAAAAAGGAACAGAAACATGAAAGTAATCAAAGTAATCAGCAAAATTTGGGACTGCAGGAACAAGAAATGCACACAGACCTGATTTCACATACTGATCACAGTTCCTAGCTTCCTGATTGTCTAGTTTTTAAATCCTGTTGACTTTGCTTCATTAAATAGATGTGGACCAGAACTAATGAACTTTGGTGTCCCGTCAAAAGCCACTCCATATAGTGGCATGGGTAATTGCTTAATCGTCCTACAAACCAGATCCAGTTTTTGAAGAATGGACATGAAGGCAGTGTTGCAGTTAAAAGTGCAATTGTCACTTTGGCTCAGTGAGTGCTCTTGACCCATCACTCCCCTTCATCAGGGAGTATGATGTGGCTGCGTTACTCGTACACGTGGAGGTAATTCTTCCAAATTTGTTCTGAGAGCAGGGCGGTTTGCCTGATATAGCAGTACATCATTACAGATAATTTTCCTTAACATTTTTGGTTAACTTCTTCTGTCTTTCTTTACAAAAGCCCTCCTCGTTCCCAGACACCTCAGGACATTCTCAGAGCTTCTGAGGTAGAGAGCCGTGGCAGTGGAGAAAAGACTAGTTCTCAGGTAAACGTTACCGTTATTGGTTTATCTACCACAAAATGCACATTTGTATCTCCCGATGCCTTCCCTTAAGGAAGCACTTCTGTTAATAGGAAATCACATAAGCACAAGATGCTGAGTTTGTACTAGTTCAGACCATTGGCCCGTTTAGATCAGTATTGCCTAATCTGACTGGTAGTGGTTCTCCAAGGCTTCAGAAAGAGGAGGACCTTCCCCACCTCCTGCTTGCTGGAGATGTTGAGGGACTGAACCTGGCACCTTGCAGTTTCATGTATTCTGACAGTGAGCTACAGCCCGTTCCACAGTCCATTGATTACTTTACATAGGGATATGTAGTGACTGGGTAGTGCGATTTCCCCCCTTATCTGATGGGCCTGCTTTAACTTGGAGTGCTCCTCGGAATGTCAAGGTGTCACAGGTAACTATTTGATAGTGCTTGTACTTTGAGGAAGATTGAAACCTGTGCCGCTGCCATATTGTGATCCCTTTAGAAATTTTTTTTTTAATTCTTTTGAAGCTGTGTGCCCCTACACTTCAGCATTTGTAGCACTTGAAAAGGCTGAGACTTCCAGTACTGGATTGGTTCTAGCATTAAAGTGACTGCTATGTGGAAGGTTTGGTTGTTTTTTAAAAAACTGTCTAGATGAGACCTAATAGTTTCAAGAGTGTCTGATAAAACTGTTTGGGAAGATGAGTCCATTTCCAAGAAAAGATTGGTTTTAGAGAGCAGCCTTGAGCGAGTACACTCAGAAACATGTTCAGATGTACTTATTGGGGATTACTTTGAGGGACTGAGGATTGAACTGTGAGTAACTTAGTTCTTAGAATAACTTTTAGAACTCTGCAAGCAGAGCAGTTACTCAAACTGATGACGTTGCTTGAATGCCCTGCTGACTCATGAGTGCCATTCAGCTTTGGGCCCTCCGATGTCCTCCAAGAGGTTGATATACTCAGCAGCTGTCCCAGGTCCCCACCCAGTGGTGCATCACTTGCTCAAGCCCACCTGACTCCTGGTGAGGTTCCTTGCTTCTCTGTGGGTATGGCCACCAGCTGGTTTACAGAACCACAGAGTTGGGAGGGGCCATACAGGCCATCTAGTCCAACCCCCTGCTCGATGCAGGATCAGCCCATAGTATTAGAGTATTTCCCACAATGGTGGCCAGCATTCCTAGAACTCTCTCCATGTTGCTGTGTACAGTCTCCACCTAATGCCCGCATCTCCTGTTCTCACTCTGACTAGGCCTTTCAGGGATGGCTTACCACCACACGTGCACTCCCAAGAATCTAGTGATCTATTATTGACCATCTACCACCCTTTTCCTTGGCAACCCTTTAGTAATGTGTTTGATTGGGGCTTAGCATGGTTGCAAAGAATGAACTTCTAGCTTTCAAAAGAATAGTAGTAGGAAGTGTATTAAACAGTGAATGTCCATACCCTGCTCATACACATACGCCACGCAGCAATGGATCAAGCAAGATTACAAAGTAACAGTACATCCTTTGGTCCTCTGCTGAACATAGTCTGATTGTTGTTATTCTAGGATAGGCTCTTTAGTTCTAAAGTTATAGTGTTCTGTTGGTCATCCATTACCTTGAGTTTTTGTGTGGGCTGCCTGTCCTTTGTTAGCTCCATGTGGTAATGGCGGGCATCAAGATTGTGCCCAGGTGCGAGAACTCCTTCCTCCTCCAAGTTATCATCAGAACAGACTTCTTAAAATAGACCTTATTTCCCTTGTGTCAAGGGAATTTATCTTAAATAGTTGCCTACCTCCTGTGGGTCAGTCCTTCTTTTCCTATCCTCCCCAGGAAGAGAAACTGTCTAGCATAGGGCTGCCATTCCCTAGGTCCAGGCGGAGAATCTCCCAGTTTTGGGGGTGGGGGAAATCCTACATTGCTGGGCAACATCCCCAACATGATGATGTCACACAGAAGTGATATCATTGTGTCAGGGACAATGTGTGGTGACGCTCTGTTTTTTGGTCAAAACTCTATGGTTTCAGGGCAATTTTACCATAGAGTTTTGCCCTCAAAACAGAGTGTCACCATGTGATGCTCCCGACATGATGCCATCACTTCTGTGTGATGTCCTCATGTTGTGGAGCCCTGCCACACTCCTGGTGGGCTCCCCCCCACCCCCCACCAGTGCGTCAAGGAGATCTTGCAACTCTAGTCTAGCATTTGGCGACCCTATGTCACCACCCTAGGTGTCACATTCTTGCCAGTGAGTGAGATGGGCCCTTCATTGTTCTCTGCTAGCTAGAAGTATTTGCATAACCAAGCCTTAAGTAACTGGGTGCTTGTGAGAGCCATCAGTGGGATGGAGGTGCTTGAGAGCAATTAACCATTCTTTTATCTTTTCCTTGTATGACTCAGATACTTCTGAGTTTTGTAGCTCCAAAATTCTCAATAATGTGATGTAGCCACAAAGTAGAGTACATTTCTCTAGAGGTGAAATTTGTCTGTAGCGTGACACGTTTTGTCAGATGGGATGGCCGCAAAACGATTGGACTACTGCTAAACCAGTGAAGTCCAATAGAATCCATAACTAAGGATCAGTTGTCATTTTAAACTTTATTGCTTGAGTAAATTTATAAAATACACATGTGCTCTGGTAAATGTGCAAAACTGGACACTTGGCTTCAAAATGGAAATGATGGCCAAGAAAGATTGAATGTACGCTATAATAAAGCCTGCTGGGTTGGATTCTGTGAATCATGAACAGAAAGTAATTGTGGATTTGTCCCACCTTCTCTTCCCACAGCAGCCTGACAAGCTTCCCCTGACAAGCTGATGCTGGGAGACACAGGAGTCCCATGGACAGGACGTCCTGGGAATAGGGCACTGCTGTGAAGAAGGGAATCCAGCAACTTTGCTCCCATTTCCCTCTTGCACCGAGGGAGCCCCTTGCACCACTGGGAAGTGTCACCTGATTCCCCTCTTCACAGAAGTCCCCTGTGCACGATCATATTTTGTTTTTGGAGCTCCCATGACGCTGACCATCACCTTTTCGATGACCTCAGAAGACTGCTGGGGGGAAGGGGTGGGATGGGAAAGTTCCATGGTGTGATCTGTAGGATCCAACCTGCCTGCAATGCAAGTATTAGTTATTTATCTGATTGACAGCTGACCATGCAGATGCATCCCTAAACAGATTTCAGTCCCGTATAGAAAATCATGCCATAGGTTTATCCAGATGGGGCTGCTGAGACTCATCGCAGGTCCTTGGAATAAGATTCCTGTTGGGAGCCCCTTCTCACACATTTAAAAGACGGGTCATTGGTGAGGGGACTCACCAATCCACATATAAGCAATTTTAAGCACTTGGTAACTGTTTACATCAACAGTTGCTTAACTGAAAAACATAGCTAGTAATCATTTGCTGTGGGAGAGCAATTGCAATGATTTCAAGTCGAGCAAATGGTTAAAATGAGGGATTATGAATTCCTAGAAGGGCTTCTAGTTGTTGAAGCTCAGCTGTTGCAGACAGCATGCTGGTGGGAACATGAGAACAAAATGAGGCAAGTAGGTTGCCTGGTTTCTTGCCTTCCTCTTGTGCAACTTGAGCCTGGGGAGTTTTGTACCCCCAGTGTTCCCCGCCTTGGATCCAGAAACTGAATATCTGAAGTGTGGGAGAAGAATTTTCTATCAGTTGTTGTAGATTTTCTGGGCTGTATGGCTGTGGTCTTGGCATTGTAGTACCTGACGTTTCGCCAGCAGCTGTGACTGGCATCCTCAGAGGCATAACACAGAAAGATGGAGTACTCTCTGTGTCAAGGTGTTGTTATACCTCTGAGGATGCCAGTCACAGCTGCTGGCGAAACGTCAGGTACTACAATGCCAAGACCACTGCCGTACAGCCCGGAAAATCTACAACTGATTAACTCCAGCCCTGAAAGCCTTTGACAAGAATTTTCCACTCTGGCACAGTCTATGCTTGTTGACCTGTGCCTTGGATTCTGACACCCTGATTCCTTGGAGAGCAGTTTCTTGATCACGTTCAATCAGTACTTTTTTATCTAATAATAGTTTCGGTGCCATCTGGATATATCTGCCTTTCTCTTAGTCTGAAGAAGATTTCCTGGAAAGAAGGAAAGAAGTTGAACGGCTTTTGAAGAAGAATTCTGACTGGATGTGGGATTGGTCCAGCAGGCCTGAGAACATTCCACCCAAGTGAGTCCTCTTACTGGGAACAATGCAAATGAGTTATGCAGATCTGCTAGGTAAGTGGATTGGTTTTACACAACAGTTGCTGACACGGTTTTCTTTTCTTCTGATGCACCAGGGAGTTTCTGTTTAAACATCCTAAGCGCTCAGCTACCCTCAGTATGAGAAACACAAGTGTGATGAAGAAAGGAGGCATATTTTCTGCAGAATTTTTGAAGGTCTTTCTACCATCTCTGGTGCTTTCCCATCTGCTTGCCATTGGACTAGGGTAAGAACTGATTCAATGAACAGATCAATTGTAGAGTTGTAAGGCTGGAAGCCCAACTGTGGTGTTTTAAGGCAGGATTCCCTCTATTTCTAATAATGCAAACTGTTTACTTATATCAGCTATTTTACAGGTTGGACCAAAAGAGAGTAATGTGACAGAATACTGTGCATCATGTAAGAAAACAAATGTGTTGACTGTATATCTGTCATTGCAAACAGTGAGCTGCCAGTGTATTCCAAAAGTGGATATTATTTATAAATCTGAAATATCTGTAACATCAGGAAGAGTTTTGCTTCCATCCGTTCTCTAGACTTTCATCATTCCTATTCCATATACGGCAGGCCTGGAGAACATCTCCCAGGAGCTTTAATTGGGCAGTAACTTGAAGGAAGGAAATTGGCTATCCAGTCCCAGTGGACAGGAGAAAGTGGATGTAGAAGTGATCTCCAGTTCCAATGTAATATATTGCATTTGTAGAATACCTTTGTGATGAATCTGGTGGAAACAGCCCGTCGGGATCCGTTATGCACACAGTTTGCTCAAACATGGTTTCATGAACTTGCCTATAAGCCTGAAGAAACCGTTACAGAAATCATTCCAGTGATGTGAGGGATTACATTGGCACTCATTTTTTTAAAACTGAAATAAAGTAGAGAACTTTGCTGTCCTAAGTGACAGCCACAAAGCGGGGAAAGAAACTTCCATCCCATGGGGACATTGAAAGATAGTCTTGAAATATTGGAATAAGCAGAAGCACAGCCGTTTCTGAGCAGAGTAGCTGCAATTTAGCTTAGAGGTGGTTACTTCTGTGGTTGTTCCATGGGAGCTACATCAGTAAGGAATGTACTACACACAGGAGATCCTATTGCCATATAGTTCTGGGTAATGACCAATGCTCCCTCTAAGCTGTGGAGTCTTCTAAGCAAAAATTCTACTTTCTGAGCTACTGACATTAAAGTTGTGAGCGAGCAATTTGGCTACTGCATAAATTGGTTTATTCTGGAGTAGGGGTGCGCAAAAAAAAGGTTACTTTTCCCCCCACCATAGAGAACAATGGAGGGGATGGGAGCAACCTGTTTGGGGGGCCATAGAATTGGACTCCCTGGTTCAATGTTCTTAAAACTTGGTGGGTATCTTGGGGAGAGGCCCCAACAACTACCCTGCGAAATTCAGCAGAAATTCAGCGGCAAGCCGATTCAGATCAGAGAATCTGAATTGGCCCACAGCAGCCCGAAAGGGCCATTTTTGGGGGTGCACTCGGTTCAGATGAACCAAATGCACAACCCTATTCTGGAGCCATCCTTCCTGAGCTAAGACAAAAATGTGTGAGCCTGAGGCTAAGAAACTGTGAGCTAGCTCACACTAACCCAGCTGAGAGGGAACACTGGTAATGACGTCTTTTTAATGAACCTGTAGGCTGTGTCTGTAAGACATGCAGTGCTCCACTATTAACATCCATTCTACTTCTCTTATTTTCGTCAAGGGACCACTGGAATGCCAGTAGAAAGTGAAACATTTTGTGTATAAATATAATGGTTCCCCATTCTCTGTCTGCCTGAAATAATGCCCAGCTGGGATGCAAATAAGGCCCTTCTAGTTTCAACTACTTTGGTGTTTTGAGCTCAGCATTTCTCATGTGAATTAGTACCTCATGCAAGATCTGAAAACCAAGGGTCTGTAGTGGAGATTTCATGTTTGTAAACAAATCCAGAGATATTTCACACACACAAACTCTTTTTCTCATGCACTTAAATTGACCCACCCCTGTTTGTGACCTGACATTAAAAAGGAATCAGGTCTACAGACAGAAGATTCTTACATGGGTGCCTAAACATGATTCATCTTTGTCACAGGTTATTAGGCAGATGGTTGCTTGCAAGCCTGGATTAATTGCCAAACATGCACTTACGGGCATGGAAAATGCAGTCTCAGTAGTAGTCAAAGCAGGAGGAAAAAAGAGGCGCTGTAGCATCTGGCGTGGGGTCCTCTGAAGCAAAGCACTCATTGTTTTTTATTTGTGTGCCTAAAGGATTTATATTGGAAGACGATTGACAACCACACCTTCCAGCAGCTCGTTGTAAGAGGGGGAGGAATTCCTGTCTCTGGCACCACCGTCACGACACCTGTGTAGGCATGCAAACTGGTGAAGCAAAGGAACTTCTGAGTGTGCAATAGCTGTCTGGTTCTGTATGTTTTAAGTTCAGTAAATGTTGTTCTCATGGTTTAATTGTAGACGGGGAGGATGGAAACCAAAGCCAAACTCTGTGTAAGCCCCTCCTCTTTTTTTTTTTTTTTTTTGCTCAATTCAACAACCTATGTTTTAGATTCAACATCTGAAGAGATGCCGGAGAAATGGATTGAATCTTTTTATAAGCAATGGTATCAGTGCGTTTTGAGAGAAAAAAGACTAACTTTCCTATACTCAAGGTAATGTAGCAAGGATGTGTTTGGCTGTTTCTTTCTATTGTGCAAATACTTCACGAGGATTGCTCTTGGTAGCACTCCAGTGAAGGCTGGGACAGAAGCCGATGTGACCTTGCCTTACATTTTTTTTAAAGAATAGACTCTTTTTACTTGATTTCAAGCAGTTTAAAAATTTGCTTTGAGATACGACAGTAAATGCTAAATACTTTTAATACAAGCCTGTGCGCTTGTGATGGGATACTTCCCTTTCTCTTTCAATAAATGTTAATGTGCTCTTCAGCTATTCGTAACGGTGTACATAGGCACGACTTCAGTGTGGCAAGGCAATTTATCCTAATGCCGGGACAAAGAAGGAGAACTGTGGCATGGAGCTGATGCAGCTTGGAAGGGTGTAGTATTAGATGAGGCCACTTTCTGCCTCCTTTCTCCCACTGCAGTCTTCTGTGCTCCTGAGGGTTAGTGCCCCCGCCCCCCCGGGCAAAATGGGGATCTGCAGGAGGAGGAAAAATTGGTGGAAATCACCCTTCTCTCCTCCAGTGACAAGAGCCCCTTCTGTGGGCAGAATAGCTGGTTATGCTGATGGAATGGTAGTTTGGATCCAGCCCTTTATTCCCAGTCTCCAGGTATGGTTGGTCAGACCAACGGTCCATTCAAAGACTTTCTCTGACAAGCTCATAGACGGCGTAAGTTATGACAGCTATTCCCAGCTGTTTGTCTGTGACTCTGGTAGAGAGGGACTGCTTCTTAACATGAAGTTTCTGTTACTGTTGTGGCTGTAGTGCCATTGATAAATCTGCCCTCTGTTTATCTGTTTAGAAACATAGGTGCTTGAGAATATCTGAGTGCCCAGTGCAGATTTGATGATAAATGAATTTGTTAGAGAACGAAATAAAACATCATAACCCACTCTGCCCAGGTACACATTAGAATGCCACAGTGCACAAATCTGCATATTCAACATTTTGCTTCTTTTCGTAAGAGCCTGCCAGTCTGATGCCCTGCATTTGCTAAGTAAATACAATTGACTCACTGTAAAGTAATGGCGTTTAAAACTGCAGCCTTGGTTTTAGACTGGAGAATAGTGGAGACTGCCAGTTTGGTTGCCTTCCCAACTCCAGCATTCAGCCTTAAGTGACCTCAAATAACTGCTTCCTGCTTAGAAAGAATAGTGAAGTATTGCCTGTCATCCGCCCATGTTAGCATTGTGTACTTATAATCATATCCATCTAAAAGCAAGTTTGCTTTTCTCATTGGCTTTGGCCTTATCATTTGGCAAACATGGATTTTTAATGTTTTTGTCCTTCTGGAACAGAACTGAAATTAATATAGCTGTGTTGCTGTGTACAGTGGCATCTCATATCATCTAGCTGTATAAGCAGTTTGTATAATAGGGTTCCATGTGCTAAGATTTTTTCACTTTAGGTATTACTTGAAGGGGTAGGTTGGGGGGGGGCTTATAGCCAGGTTCATTTCGCAGTAGCCCCAGTTGAATGGCACAGATAGTAGGGAATGTGGAAGACCTCTGTCTGAGAACCTGGAGAGTTGCTGTCAGAGTAGACCTTGATAGCACAGCTTCAAGTGAGGGAAGAGCCTTCAATTTGTGTAAAGGTTTTCAGTTGGAAAGAATTTCCCCATCTCCTCTGTGTGAAAGAACAGCTACATTAGTGCAGAAGGTTACATACCCAGCTTTCCTCTGCAGAGAAGGGTGTGTGCAGTACTGCTTATATAGAGCTTCAGAAATTTATGGATACCCACATGGACTTAAGAACACAAGAGAAGCCAATGTTGGATTAGGCCAATGGCCCATCCCATTCAAAACTCTGTCACACAGTGGCCAAAGATACCAGGTGCCATCAGGAGGTCCAGCAGTGGGGCCAGGAAACTAGGAACCCTCACACTATTGACCCCCCCCCCAGCACCAAGAATACAGAGCATCATTTGCCCCGGAGTCCCTATCTATACCTTGTGGCTAATAGCCACTGATGGACCACTTCTCCATATGCTTATCTAATTCCCTCTTGAAGCCGTCCATGCTTGTAGCCAGCACCACCTCCTGTGGCAGTGAATTCCATATGTTAATCACTCTTTGGGTGAAGAAATACTTCTGGCAGTTTTGCTGAGATCCAAAGACATGCCACTGATTCATGGGGTTAGAGCTAGTGCTAATTTCTGCAGAAGGAACATGTTTTTTTTAACCAGCAGGATACAACCTTCTGGCCTCCTACAGCCTGAATGATTCCCCCAAAAGTTGCTCCTGGGGGGACAGGCTACCCACAGGGAATAGCTTGAGGGGCAAATAGGTGACTTGCAATGAATGGGATGGGGGTGGGGAATGGGCAGAATCCATTAGTAAAGTCTACTGCTAATCCAGTTCAGTAATTGCAATCTTTGAGAGCATGGGTGGCCGAAGAAAAAAAAACACTCAGTGGGTGCGTTCATACAGGCTGTTTAGTCCGCTTTCGGCACGCTTCAGTAACGGATTTTATACGCATGATCACACAGTCAACATCTGCCTCCCGTCCCCAGCCATTGGTTTCCGGCTCAAAACCGCTTTAACCTGGAGTATTTTGTTACCAGGTCCCAAAGTGGTGTTTTCTCAGCTCTCCCGTTTAAAGCCACTCCAACGCTGCCCAAGGCTTCCGCTTTTCGCCCACCATTTTTTTTAATGCGTCAGAAGTGTGCGCATAGGCAGAGCTCTGCCACAATGTTTAGAAAACCGACATTTAAACGGTCGCTTGTTTTAGCATTTAGATGAGTTTGGGATCGCACGGAGGCCATTTTTGGCTTTAACCTGGAGTATTTTGTTACCAGGTCCCAAAGTGGTGTTTTCTCAGCTCTCCCGTTTAAAGCCACTCCAATGCTGCCCAAGGCTTCCGCTTTTCGCCCACCATTTTTTTTAATGCGTCAGAAGTGTGCGCATAGGCAGAGCTCTGCCACAATGTTTAGAAAACCGACATTTAAACGGTCACTTGTTTTAGCATTTAGATGAGTTTGGGATCGCACGGAGGCCATTTTTGGGTCAAACATTTAAAGGGAAGTCTTTTGTTGGAGGGGTTGGATTCATTCACCCTGGTGGTTCTGCGCATGCGCAATGGTAGTTTCACCCCCCCATTCTACGGAGGGGCACCTATACGCATGTGCAAACTGAATTTTTTTTTTTAATCTCACCAACACAAGCTTTCCCGCGTTGGTAGTGTAAACCCCGGGGAACGACATGATTGCATGGTGAGGCGGGATAAGGGAGGTGTGATCACAATTATCCAGATCAAATATAATCCGGTTAGAACCAGAGCAGTTTAACCCACTCTCAGCACACTGTCTGACCGCACCCAGTGTGTGTTTAGTTGTTGTATGTACTTCTGAAGTAATAAATTGATCGGTTCTGAACTGTCTGTAGTCCACAAGACAATATCCTTGAAGCTGGTTTTTTCCTCCATCGACCACAGATTTGTAAATACAAACTACATTTTTATGTAATAGTTTGTACCATTGCCTTTTAAAGAATGATGTTAGAATAGTATTAAGAAAGATGGGAAAACATCAGGAGCTTCATCTGGCTCTTCATAAAGTTGACAAGCTGTGAAAAGTACTTTCTTACGCATTGAATGTAATATGATAAGTGAATTCTATGGAGATAATAAAATGAGTAAACATTTCTTGCTCCTTTTATGTTTAACAGAAGAGAAGACATATGTGAATCACTAAAAAATGCTGTAGTGGGGTCATACTATTGTGGAATATGGCTGAGGGTGAAATGGTATGATTGGGCCAAGGGCAAGTCTGGTAGACCCCTTGATTGAAGCAACACCTCAAATTAGGCCATTCCACTGCTGTTGTAAGCAGGTATCAGTACCAAAGTCCATAAGCAATGGGTAGAAGGCTTGCATGTATTTATGCTCTACCTTATCCCACCATGCTTTAAAATGTTCTAATCATCTGAATGGTAAATGAAAAACACTGGACTATATACATTTCCCACTGCTGTAAGTGAATCACAAAGTACAGATAACTGACATTGTTAGTCTGGCAGAAGTAGTTCTGAGGCTTGATCTTAGAACATGTATGCTAGCAATAAGAGATTCGTTATGTAGCTTTGCCTGGATGCCGTGTCTGCTGGCACAAGAGGCAGGATCCGTATTGTCAAAGGCTATGATGGGATCATGGAGGCTGCGTGGGACTCAGCAGCAGGGAGAAAAAGGACCTGGGATGATCGTTCCTTGGCCATCTTGCGGCCTAAAAAAACCTTGGTAGAATCCATCTAGTGCTATGGAACCAAGATATGTTGAAATAAGTAAAATCCAGATGTGTCAGCCTAGCAGGTCAAGTCTTAACCGTATACATAAAGGCTTACAGTTTCTCAATTTTTTCTGTCTGTGCCTAACTAGGTTGAAACATCCTGAGCAGAGTACAGTAAATGTAAATCTGATGATTTGTGGTCAAACAGGACAATTGCCAGGCATTCAAGAACATGGTCACAGCTATTCACACAACATATAAATCAATTCTAGGCAATGTTCTTGGGTGTTATTCATCCAGGCTATGTAATCCCAAGCATGGCTTGAAGGGAAGAAACACTGGCTGGGACGCACCATGTTTAAGAATTCAAAGACCAAGATAGTTTTCAAAAATCACCAAATATGGAGACAGTGGCAACATTGTGTTGCATACATTTCCACCTGTTTTCCCATGAATTTTCTTTATAACTATATGCTGAATACCAAAATTCTAAAAACAGTTTTGAACCACACACTTTACCATAGTCAGACTCTACAGTTTAGCCACATTGACTAAGATTACAGGAAAGTGGCAACCACGTAGCCTCTATCAGTAGCAGGAAAAAAACAGAACATGACCACTGAGCACAATGAGCACTAATTTGCTGAGTTTCAGGGGCCAATTCAAGGTCCTGGTATTTACTTTTAAAACCCAGAACAGCTTAAATCTACCTGGAGGACATATTGTCCTGTCTGGCCATTGAGATGAACTATCAGTGGTCTCTTACAGGAACAAGTAAATCACAGTGTAAACTGGTTGGAACCCACACAATAGCTTTTCCAGCCACTAAGTTCCCCTTCCTGGAGGTGAGGATGACACCATCCTTTCAAAAGGTGATGAAACATTCCTTTCTTTGCAGGCATTCAGTCTAGATTACGCACAGCACCCGGTTTATCTTACCCTGTATTGTTGTTTTGAATGATACAGACTGTGTGTCTGGTAATCTTACTTTTCTCCTAAAGACTTACAGTAACTCAAGATAATTCAATGCCACCCACTACAGCCATACCACACAAATGGCTCCAAATGGACTGTGGGTAAGACTTACTCTGAAAAGTAAATATAGTATTACACACTGGTTCTACTAAAGACATTCATTTTTTTGGCAGCCTAGCATTAAAATTTTCAATTTGAGCCTTGACCTGGATAGCCTGATCTTGGAATCTAAGCAGGGCCGACCCCAGCAAGTATTTGGATGGGAGATCTCCAAAGAATACCAGGGCCAGCAGACACAGGCTATCAAGCCACTTCTCTGGAGGTCCTCTGTGCCCAAATAGGTCGCCAGAGGTTGCCATGACTTCCAGGCATGAGGCGCACACACTGCAACAAAATTACATTTTTTAAAAAAATGGTGACCCCCTAAAGACCAATAAATGCTACAGGAGAGGATCGATAGCTGGAACCTACTTTGTCAGATGTTAACTGTTAACTCAGTACAGCTGCATACCACGTACAAAGGTTTGTTTTTTAAATGGAGGTCAAAGCCAAAAAATTCTAGAGACAGAAGCGGTCAAGATACAGAGCATAAAGGAATACAAGATCCAAGTAGGTGTTACCTGTTGCCACTAATGATAAACTCGCATTGCAAAATGAATACTATAAAGTTATAAACAAATGGGAAGTCAGTGCTTTAGACAACTTAAGATTAAATCTTAGGGGAAAATGTATTGAAGAAGTTGTCAAAGTACACAGAGCAAGTTCAGGTAAACATTTAAAATTTATTAAACTTTTTGGTCAAAATAATTGAACAATTATGTACAATCCCATTGTATTAGCTTTCATGTATTTTTTAGGAACAAAGTCAATCTAATGGTTAAATGACCTATCCGTTCCACATTTCAAGATTTGCAAATAGTGTCACAACTGATATACAGTATATGATTTTTATTTAAACTTTATCTTTAGGACCCCCAAATTAGTATTTATTAGCTTACTGCGAACAAGAGTGGCACTCTATGGACGTTAATTGACAGGATAAGAACAGAGGCATTGCTCTTGCATATTCACAGCCGACTTTTAGCAATCATATTAAACCTTCATTTCATTAAAAATGGAGTGTGAACCATACACCTGTACTTTATATCCAGGAAGTTCAAAGGGCCTGAATTTCAAGGGGGAGTTTATAGGCACGTTCAATAGCAAGTACAGACAACATGGGAGTAACCTACTGACTGCTATTAAAGTGCCCACAAATCTTTGTGTGTAGAAGTTTATACTCAAGAAAAGTTTACAATGAAACACTGGGAGCTGATCATACGCCCTTTAGGAGAGAGAAACCCCAAAATTCATATAAACTTTCCCTTAGCCCCCTATTGCCAGTTGAAACCCAGAATCTGACAAATGTATTTTCACATCGGCATTCAGCCTGTCCGACCTTGTGTCAGACTCACCTTAAGAGCTAAAATACGTTTTAAGTTGTGCTCCTGTTTGGCATAATCAAAGTTTAAAAACACACAAGCTTTTAACAAGCTTTTAACTGCATTGGGAAACTTTATATGCTTATGCCCAGTTGAAGTAAAAAGTATACACTTTGAAACGAACTTAAAGGTAAAAAAAGTAATGCACGTTAAGGTATGTGTCTCTCATGTGAGGCGTTGTTTACTGTTAACCAGAGCAGTGATTCCGTTGAAGGTTTTGATGTACGAGACAATCTTGCTCCTTTAAGGCTGTATATGAACTTCAAACCAATTTTTTCTGTTTCTTCTTTCGTGCACACAGTACAGAAAACCAATACAAGTTAAGGTAATGAGGGAAAATTAATTTTAGAGTTTGAAGAAGCAGATATCACAAGAAACTGCTTTATACTGTCAAAATCAATATTTTCGGGACAAACTATTTTCAAATCTTTCCATTAGAGATATTTTGCACAATCTCAATACATGCAATAAAAAAGACTGAATACATACTTTCAGATTTAAAAACACTTTTTATAGTTTGTTATTTTTATTAAGTGGTTTACACCAGAAGGTGTGGTTATAGATAAAGTTGGTGAGTGATATACATGAAAAACCTGTCTATGCACCCAACTCTAGACTTACCTATATTGCTCAATGGTAGAAACACCTAAAGCTTAGATGAAGGCCAGAGGAAGAATGTTTACAGGCATAAAGCACAACTATATGTTTTGAAAGGCCCAAATATTACAGCAGATAAAGAACACGTGAGATAAAAATTACATTTTATGACAATTTGTTTCTTGGGTGTTAGATTTTTTTTGGTCTATCAACTGGAAAGGAAGGCTCAGACTTAAATAAATACATTTGTTTTGAATATTGGCCTTTATTGAGTATTGTCCATCAATTCTGCTTCTAGTGAGCTTATTTCGTTTACAAAAATTAAATTCCACGTTCTCCCTCACTGAAGGCAGAAATACACCATGAACTCAAATCCAGGCCAGCTTCTCTCCTTTACCTATAAAGGGAAATAAGTGCATCAATGTTCTTTACTGGGAGGACAACAAGGCCATCTCTCTGACAGATAAACAACTGAGCTTAACTATGCAAGACGACAACTTTGTCCTCGAATAAGCCGTCTTTAATTAATTTTGTCCTGGAATATATACAAGTTATTGGTGGCAGCTACAGCAATGATGTTTTCTGCAGGGTGCCATGCTGTATGAAGGATCTTCTTGTTGAAGTCCAGACTGTCAACACTTATTTCATCTTTCTTTCTCTTGCCACCCGTACACACCTTCCGAGGCTTTAAGATGGCACGAGGTTTGCTACTCTCTCTTGATGCCTCCAATGTAATATCTCGCCGTGTGTTTCGATCAAACATCCTAAAGAAATTGTTGTAGGAGCCAGTCATAATAGCACTGCAGAAAACAAACAAGAGAAAATGTTACACTCATCTTTGTCTATCAGGTAATTGTATCAGTGACGGCGCCTGCAGGCACCCTTGTAATTATGAGTGGGGGTGATGAGCACTAAATGGCTGCCCCAGGAGGTGAGGCGAAACCCCAAAGTGGCAGGTGTAGGAGGCACGGCCAAATGGGATACCTCCCTCCTCACATCCTGGGAAGAAGGGAAGCCTGAAGGGGGAATGGAACCACACAATGACTAAGGAAAGCCCAACACGTGCTTACTAATCCTCATGATTCTCCAGTGGAAAACCCTTTTGTTTGAATTAGGGCAACCAATAACAAGCCCTGAATTTAAACGGCCCTCCACACTTTCTGAAAAACCCGTTGGTGTCAAGGGAAGTACTGGGGAACCCTGGATTATGATGATCTGGCCTGCATTTTTTTGTGTAATACCCCATATACATTACCACATCCTATCCTCCTTTGTCTTTCCTTAATGCTAGCAGTCATACAAATCTATTCTTCATTTGCTAGTCAGCTACCACTCCAGTGGAATTTGGTTCTCACTGGAGAAGTCCTTACCTCTAACAGCACCAAGAAACTCACAGTCTGACTCTTATACTGGTGCTACTGTGCTACTTTTTGTCCTCACCCCCTCCTCTCGCTAGAAAAGTACATGCAACAGCATTAGGGGATGATGAGAAAGTAGAAAACAGTTTGTCCAGGAAACACCACAACATATAATTCCAAGAGCCTTTTGGTCTCATAGAAGACTTAGATGCTGACAGAATACTACAGTCACCTTGGAAATGAGTTTTGGAGGTGGAAGTTTAAAACACAAAATTAAAGCACGAGCACCTGTAGATGTTTAATGCTTACAAAATAAATTACAAGGAACATGCTGCTTTAGAATAGCAAGCAGTAGGTACCTGGGATAAACCAGTTCCTTGGTGTCTGGCCTGCTTAAGAATATCTTTATACCAACTGATCACCTAGATTAGTACTGCACACTTCTGACTGGCAACAGCTTTTCAGGATATAAAATGAGAGGGTTTCCCTAACTGAGATGCTTTTCATCAGTAGGAAAGTTCAGCATGATTTTAATGTACATTCAGGAGATATATAGAACTTGAGTCTCCAGTCAATGAATCAGCCCCCTCCCCCCTTTTAAAAGATGTCAGGATTGGGCTTCACAATTTTTATGTGCAAAACACGTGTTCTCTCAGTGATGACTACTCCTGCAGCAATATATACCAATACTTGCAGCTAACTGAAAATATAGGATTAAAATCCTTTTTTGTTGTTAAAGAGCTAGCAGATGCTGAATAATCTGATTATGGCTGTCTTAAGTATGAACTTATCCCTTTTCTTCAATTCAAGAACATATGCATTTGTAGAACTCAGGTAAGTCTTTAAATGTGAGCCCCAGTGCACAAATCAGTCTTACCTATCAGAACCATTCCAGCAGCATTCAAATTTGTCAAAGATGCAGTCATTCTCATACAGTGAACAAAGTTTGCTTCGGAGATACTCATGAACCTTTAAAACACAAATGTTGAACAACATGAGAACATTCACCACTTTAGAAAAAGCTTGCCTTACGAAGAAGCACAAACACCATACCTGGTATGTCTCTACAGGCCTATTTTCCATGTTGAGATCCCATACTTTAACTGAAAGGTAGTCCCTGGTCATCATGTATCGACCACTGTGACTGAATTTTACATCTGATATTGAGGAAATTATTTCTGAAAAGAATGATCTGCTGCTGGGATCTTCTGGCTCCTCAAAGACTGAAAATATAGAAGACAGAAAAGAAAAAAGGTTGGAAGCAAAGAAGAACCTTTCAACACTTTCAGAAAATCATTGATCTTCATTTCAGCGGGTGGTCTGTGCTGGTCTGCAGTCGAAGAGAAAGATTCAAGTCCAGTAGCAGCTTAGGGGTATAAACCAGAGGTGTCAAACTCATTTGTTACAAGGGCTGGACCTGAAATAAATGTCACTTTGTTGGTGCAGGCCATGTGTGCCATCAAATGTAATGCCAGGTATCAGATATATAAACTGCATTAAGGACAGCAGCTGGTAAGCTCCAAGTTGATGTAGCCTCACTGCAATGTCCCATGGGCTGGGAAGGGGGGTGCAAAGGAAAACCCATATGGGCAGACTGGAGAGCCAGCAGTGCAGCACTGGGCAGACGCTCCCACGCTGCTTGACTGCTACAGATGAGACTGTTCTGCCATTCTGAAGCCACAATTGGAGTGGCTCCGCCCACTCCCCCTGAACAGTCTCCTGTTCCGTCCCTTGCACTAGTTGCAGGCTGCATAATAGCCCTGGATGGGCCAGTTCTGGCCCTTGGGCCTTACGTTTGACACCCCTGGTATGAACTTTAAAGAGTCAAAGCTCTGAAGAAAGCTTATACCCCAAAACTCTTGTCGGTCCCTAAGGTGATACTGGACTGCAATCTAGCTCTTGAAAAACTGAAAGCACTGTCCTGGATGCATTCACTGCTCTATACCCCTCAGAATGGCCAAGACCCCATACATCAAACTACACACACTCAGTGAAAATATATGGGCAATGACATCACTCTGAGTGAAGGCGTAATGCACAAATTCAGTAACTCAGCTTACAGATGTGTTGAGAGAGCCTCTGAAGTATCATCACTGCCCAGAGGACAGGCAGTATTCTTGAGTGACTGGGCAAAGGGGAGCAGGAAGAAACGGCAGAAGGCAACACTGACTCAATTAACTGCTGTAGCTAACAGGATACCCATCAACACATTCTCTTTTTGAATACAGAATAAAGTATGTTTCTAATTAAGTGCTGGAATCCAGAAAACCCACTGTGCATGAACAGAAAGCATATGCTTGTGTGTGTATGTATGTTTGTGTGTGTAGGGGGGCTCTTAACTCTTCCTTCCAGTTGTATACCTTTGTGCCACACTAACTCATAATTTGGAGGTTTTCTGAAGGGATGGAGGGGCTAGAAGAGAAAAGGGTCCCCCCTCCCCCCAGAAGGTCCAGCATGTTTTATATATGGCTTCTGGGTCCCATCCTTCATCTAGGAAGCGGCTCTACCTAGAGAACCTCACCCACATGGAATCTCTGATTTTCTCCAGGCTATTCCACCTATGTGTGGTGAGTACCACTGAAAGATTCTAAACAAAAGCTTACCACAGCAAGAACCTCCCAACCACTCAACCATATAAGCACCAGCTACGCAGATGCTTGACTAAACATGACTAAAAGAACACACCAAAACCCCACCTTTTATAAATAAACTAATTCACACAAGAACCACCACTACATGTTGCTAGTTGGCAATGTAACCTCCATTTGGGTGTAACAAATAAAATGGAACCAATATAATCAGAATATTACACACACTTAAGCACCATGTCTCTCTCTGCCCTTACATTTATTCTGAATGTTTATCACAAACCAAATTAAGGATTTTTTTTAATGTGCATCTGCTAGATGTGCCTCCATTAAAAAATACACCAAGGTTCTATTAAGAATTCTCAATACTGGAAGATACCACAGAGTAATATTTTATTTATGGCAGTCTACACTATCCCACCTGCAGAGAGCATGATTAAAATTGTAGGTTTTTATTTGCATTTTAATTATGAATGCAGTTTTTACAGACATTTATAAACAGAATTATCTAATTAGTGGCTCAAGATGCTTCGGGATATTATCCCACATCTAAAGGTAGGGAAATGGAATACCGTTTTTATGGCACACCAGCAATTAGGCCTTACTGTGCCAAACACCCATGTATGCTTTAAGCAGCTTCTCCAGCTTTCTATTCTAGTGAATCATAACTTTCTTAGAAGTGTGAAGTTTGGACTCCAAAGCCTATGCTGCTTGCACACAAATGAAAAGAATGGAATAAACTGGCAGTCACAACCCATTCACTTGTTCAGTGGTGGACAAGGGGATAAATACGCAGCATGGACAGCACAACACAAGTGAAAGAAAAGCACACAAACACCAAAATGAACAAGCTAAAAAAGGAAACAGTCACTATAATCTGTTTTATTTAAGACTATCAGCACAACTTGGCCCAGTCCCAGAACAGCAAGACAAACCAACAGAATTACAGCAACAAAAGGTTCCTAATTTTGGGAAGAAGACAACTGGCACAGGACAAAAAACCATTCTATGAGAAGAAGCTCCTCACCTAGAAGGAGCCTTTTTATGGCTCAGTTGATTACCATATTTACCTTTCAGTACTGGAAACCAGCACAGCTAGTTCTGCTGTAACACAGTCGTCATGCTCCTGAAGCTGGGATAGCAGAAGGAAGCATCTTTGCTAAACTGTATGCTTTACAGTACAATCCCTGCGTGATGCACCACAAGGTGCGCACAAAACACAGATCTTGCCTTCTGTGCACACTGCTGGGTTTTCCAATGCAACGTGCATTCTCCACAGCGCTACAGCAACTGTTTCCTTATTTTTTAAGTTGTGTTCTAACAGAGTTCTAAAACATCGCATTCAAGGAGAACTGACTGCATCAAATTTAGCATACACCGTGTTATAAAGATGAACATATGAAAAGTGCAAACTATACGTGTGCTTCAAAATGGTCTAGAAGGCAATTCTGATTTGCTGTTCTAGCAACTGCACACTTCTTTATTGTTTAAAACATTTATTAGCTCGCCTTTTCCCCATATATCTGGGACACAAGGCAATTAACATAGAATTTAACACAATGAAACAATTAAAACTTAACAAAACTAGCACAGTAATACACAAGACCCAAATGCCAGCTGCAAACCTCCAGTTCTCTTATTAAGTCCTACACCAATGTCAAACTCAATAAACCTCACTTGACCAGGTTGTGCAAACAAAATAAGAAAACCCCCAAAATATTTATATCCTTCTGAGAGCAACACCACACACAGTTATCTTACAGAAGAATGGCTACAGAACCTATTATAGTGGAGCATGCATTCTCAAACCAAGGATTTATGGAACAGCGGTAGTGATTATTTTCCTTTCCTTCTCAGTTCTTGGATCCAATCTTTTTTTTTTTTTAAAAAAACATCCCTTCCTCTGCAATAAAGTTGAATATCTCTCTTAGAATGATGCCCGCTGAACAAAGTGCATGTTTTTGCACTAAAGAAAGTATAAGCAAATTTAGTCACTATTTTTCTTTAATCGAGTGATACCACATAGCAAGTATGCCTATGCATTTCTAACAACAGTATATAAAACCCAGAAGCCACTTACATTTAGAATGTCTATCACAGAGGGCTGAAGAACGCATGTCACAGAGCCGTATAGTTCCTTTGCTACTGCTGTAGACAAACACATTACAATGATGGGGGTGGAACTCTGCTGCAGTTATCACCTCTGTCAATTCCTCCATGTTAGCAGGCTTTATATCTACAATGTCTGAAATTTGCTTGTAAAGGTCAGTAACGTTGTGGAAAAAGGTATCCAGGGATTACTGGATAAGAGTCCTTCTAAAGCAGCAGCACTCACTCTGCGCCTTGCAGAGAGAATTCTGCAATTACCATCATCCCAGAGAGTCACGTGACTGCTACATGACCGGTGCACCACCCCCATGAAACACAGTGTTTTAACTGTTAATACTAAATATACAGCTATAACGTTTTCAAATTACCAGATTCTTCTGAGTATGTATGGTGTCTCTCCCCACCACTGCTGAA